GACGATCCGGTCGGCATTAATGCGGTCGCTGCTGCTGTTTGACGACGGTTGTGTTAGGTAGCTTAGTCTCTCTTCTTCTCACCCAGTCTGTTTACCTGTCTGTATCTCGAGCCTGTCGGCTTATATTCACGACGTCGTTGACGTTGGGACGGCCATTCGGCGAGTTATTTCGCCCGCTTGGCTTTAGTCCCAGCTTCCGGGGGCCCCCGAACGCCAGAATGACCATTCAGCGCTCAAAAGCATCACCAGCGGCAGCGGAAGTGGTGGCAGTGAGCAGAAGGAGTCGAAGCAAAGGAAGCGAACAAAGCAGCATGGACGGTGACTGTTGTGGTTGTTTGTGTGCGACGGGCAAATGAGAGGACTGAGCGTCTGGCTATAGGCCAACTGACTGACTGACTCACGGTGACTTACGGACAATTACAGCGCTTTCTGTGCTCAGGTGTATATCGACACATAGGTCTTCGTACCTTTACGAGCACAGTGCAAATGCAACGTAAGGTACTGCTGGCTGAGGCACCAACGCCATAACGCGTCACGTTTTGCATCGACGCTACATGATGGCGGAAATTCAGTTCCACTTTACCGACGACGACAACAATATCCGCCGTAGATTCGTAATGTACAGTGACGAAGGCAAGCCTACTTGATAAAGCGGCAGACAGATACGTGTACTCAGCGGCATATAGAGAATAGGGTTTCGCTGCTAGAAGCTCTGGCACCAGCATCAGTGGCCGATCATCTTTTTTGCTTGATTTCACATTTTTTCTTGTCCGTGCTTGATTTTTCCCCACTTTCCGTATCGGCTACGTTTCTATGCACCACGCTCCGTTTCAGGTGATTCCGCAGCGACTGCTGCCGCCTCTGAATCAATTGCTAACAGATGGACAACGAGCTGCCGCTGATTCTGTTCCTGGCGATACTGACGGCAGATGCAACAACTCCGCTGCGATGCTTCATGGTGACGCTTGCCAAACGCCTCGCGCAAAACTCACAAATATTCCATTCTAGCGTCTGTTGTGCGTGCGCCCTGAATGCTATGGTTCTTTGCTACGCGTACCATGGTGGCGGCAACGGCAGAGACACTGATGCCTTTCTGCCGTAAACGAACGACGCTGGGCCGGATAGATAGACAGACGGCAAACAGCCGACTATTGCTGCTGCTACTGGATCTAGAGACGTTTCTAAGCGTCTATAGAGCGAACCGGGGCGAGCGTTGCGGCATCGGGTCCAAGCGAACCAGAGCACAGCAGTGAAGTAAAATCCAAAAGCGTCGTAGAGCACAATGTAGGCTGGTGATGATTCGTGAAGCTGTTGTGTTGCTACCTCGTCTGTTGCTGAAGTGCTGCTAGCGATGGCGGTGGTTTCAACGACAGAATGTCTGCTGGTGGCGGTGCCCGTTGATCGCAAATGGCGCTCATGGTTATCGTGGCGCTGGCGTCTGTGAAGTCGTCGAAGACAACGGCGGAGGCAACGAATGTAGCAGCTGCAATTGAGACTAAGCCACGTTGTTCAACGACATCGTTTCGATGGAAGAGAATGGCATAGTAGGGGTGGTTTTGGACGGCGCCGAGTGTCGTCAGCGTCGTCTTGTTGCTGCGGCGAAGTCGATCGTCAGATGAACGGATGAATGGACAACTGACTCCAGCATCAGGCATGCTACGAAACCCATAAGAAAGGGAAAAGATTAAGGAAAAAGCAGCACCGACCAGCCGCGCAGCCCTTGAGATCTGTCGCATCTTCAAGATTGACATCGCGATCGTCGTCGGCTTTGACGTCCGCGTTTTGTTAAAAGGGGAGAGTTTGCCTGAAGGCTTCGAAGACGATGAAAATTTGGGTGACTACCTAAAGCTATCGCGAATTAATAATCTGTCGGCGAGAAGTCAGGTATCCTTATAACAGCGTATAGCGATGCCTCACTTCTGCAGGCTGACAGATGAACTGTCGGATAGAGGGTCATACCGTTTGACTATGTCATATGAAGGGCCAAGCGTCGCCAGTCAAACGTTGTGTGAAAATGATAGTTGGTCGTCAACGCGAGACTTTTACGAGTTTCAGGAATGGCGGCTGTATTACGGGTCGTCCGTACGAGTTTTGTTGAATATATACTAGAATATTAGCTATCACGACCTGAAGTAGATAAGGACGGGCTAGAAATTTTAACGAGATAGGGTGTTAGCATTCCCTTGGATAGAGATATTGCGGTAATCGTGTGTTTGTCTTGTGCAATGCTATTTTTGTGACTACCACGAGTTGATTCTGGTGCGCACGGAGCAGGTGCTTTAGTTCCGAAATGAACTAAAACTCACCGAACCGAGCTGCCGTCTGTGTCTGATCGCAACGGGCTGAATTGTTTTTCCCCGATTATTACGCTTGCAAAACGCTCGGCTATTTTTTGGTCAGGAAAAAAACGGTTTCAGTCAGCTAACAACAAGCATTGTAACGAAGAACAAACACGGACAAAAACACAAATGATTGCCCGCGGTTTGTCTCTATACAACCTACGTATGCCAGCCGGAGCAGATCTGCCAGGTGATTCGCAACGGAACGGACTATATATACGGAAGATAATAAAGATGCACACACTTGGTATAGCGTCACTCAGCGTTACCTATCCACGCATCAAGTTGATTAAAGCCACATTGAGGCTATCCATTGCTTTATCGGAAGACTATTGTGCGATTCCGCGGCTTGTTCTCCTGGGCTCTTTCATTTGCTCGAAACATCTTCAACGTGTGAAATTTATCCTTGTAATAATAAACACTTACTTAACGTACGCTCCCATTTTAGTCACACAGGCTCTACCCTAGCTTGGTTCTATAACGGTTGGAATTAGGTGTGTTCGCATGTCCCTAGACCTTCACCACGAAAATAGAAACTATATTAAAAGCATACGTTTGTGCATGCTACGCTCAAATATAGAATCGATCTTCGGTGCCTCGCCAATGGCCAATTATGACCCATCAGCACATCAAATTACGATGCATCAAAAGGTCTCGAGTGAAGATGCCGTTTTGTAATGTGGCAATGCTTATGGTTACTCGAGAAGTTCTAGTCGTCGGGCAAGCCGATGACAGCACTGTGCATTGTAAACATGCCAAATAACGCATAAAAACTGAACAATAAACAGAATGTTAGATCGCTTTGATGGGGGTAGTCGAGATCTGCTCACGGGGCAGCAAACCCCAGAGTGAAACAGTTCTATATTTGCCACCTACCGAGTTTGCTTTCTAAAAGAAACTGAAACGAAGTATCACGTCCTCCGATAACGAGGCTACGCGGGGAAATGGGTATAATTGAGTTTACTTTAGATGGTAGGATAGGCAGTCCAGCATTATGCTGTGAACTATATCATTAACCGCTTCCAAGATTGTCGCAATCTAGCGCGTTTGCTGGGCACAGAAAGAAAAGCTGGAAGTTTAATTTCTTGAAAATTGCTGCACCATTGATTACTGAATGTTCACTGGGGTCTGGTATTGCGCTAAATGCTATCACTATACTCTTGCCGTTTGATCGTTGTCAGTCAGTTTGCCTGCTTGTTCAATCCGAATGAAGTTAGCAAAAAGATGCAAAACTTCAATGTCTGCGATTGTTCAGACTCGAGGAAGGCTCTACAACAATGAGATCTGCTCAGCAACAACGTAAGTTCGTCGTACTCTATAGCGAATCCAGGTCCAGTAGTGACTGTGAGGTCCCAGGTCTTGCGCGTAGAGCCTACTAGAATAGAAAATGCAGCTACCCCACTAAAATCCTATCTACCTTCAAAAACAATGGCAGCGACACCAGTAACTTGTCATAAACGCCTAAAAGATTGCTGGCAACAAGGAAAAGATGGCCATCTAGTTGTTGTGGTTAACTGCCGCAAGATGTGATTCGGACTTGTCAAGCATATCTACCGTTGTCTTCTTCCATTGACAGCAATGACACTCTCGACCCTTCAGCGGCGTCCCCGTTCACGCGGATCGACAGCCATCGTCTCTAGAGAGTCAGAGCCTAACCATAATTCGGTGAGATTGATAGTCAATGGTGCTCGCTAGGGATCAGCTACATCACGACGGTTTGACCTGGGCTGGTACACTCTGAGTCACATCAGCGCATATGACACTCGAATAGCGTCGATGGTATTGGCTGCAGCGGCGGCTGCTATCGTGCCGAGGTAAGTTTCGCTGAATAGAAACGGATCAACTAGAGAGAAGCGGGGCGTCAGGATTATCCGATCGATGACTGCTCGTCGGTCAGCTTCGACTTCTGTCGTTCCTACCGCTGACGCTGAAGCAGCAGTGTAAGCTCATCAAGAAAGAATCGCTTTCTGCTGCCATAAATACTACCCATCCTCAGTCCCAGCCATGACCGCGCACGGAAAACTATTCTAAGCATGTACGCATTGCACTCGATGTACATACGCTCAAACGTCCGCCACGACGCTAACGGTCTGCTGCATAACCCGTTACCGATTCTTGGCAGAACCGAAACAACGACGAGGAACAGGCAGCACTGGCATTGCGACTCGAAATGCGACCTGCCTCCGCGATGTCGTCTTTGTAAATGTTTCCCTTACTCGCTCTCTTTCTCCTCCCCTCTCCTCTCCTCTCCTCTCCATTTTGCGTTGTTACCATTAGGGCAAATACAAAGGAACGTTATTCGAACGAACGAATGCCCGGCCACTTCGAGACGGACGCCACTCGGGCTGCTGCGTGCGCACCGCCTTGAAGCAGCAGCGGCAATTGGTTTGACAGAGTGAGTGGCGTTCGAGTGAGAAGTTCAAGATGAACTGTTATTCAAGACGCTGGCGGGCTGGCTAGACGCGCCGATGCTGTGCCGCTAGTCGACGATGAACTCGCACGACACGCCAGCTGTGCTAAAGAACTACTCTCTTTCTCCGACTGTGTCGCCCTTTCTCGCTCGTTATACTATTTCACTTACGTTGTTACTCGGAATTGTTGCAGTTGCTGACGGTGGCGACGCTAGCGGCGACGGCCTGTGCCAATTCGTTAGGTGCACTTCGTTACCGTTTCCGCGACAGCAGTCAACCGCAACCGCAGCAATGATGGCTCGTAGGGGCTGTCGTTCTCGAGCGGCTACCGAACAAGTCCGAACGCTCCTTATAACCCAGAGCCAACTGCTTAGAACGACATGGGCTGCAGGTAGAGAAAAGGGGCTCGTGAACGCTGAAGGAAAAAAGCCGAAATGAAGCCTGGCAAGGTAACAGACAGTTTTGCAGACGCTATTCTAACAACGACAACAAGCACGAGGATATCGATTGTGGTTGGGACGACGCTAAAATGGCACGTAAGAATCATCCTGAACGTCTGACCATCGCCGATGTCGATTATCCTTGACCGTTCCATTGTTGTTCTCATCGTTGTTCAAGGGAATCCTACGGGAAAAGGTAGGAGAACGGAACGCCGATATTGAGCTGGCGCCTGCATTATCACTAACTGCAGCTGATTCGTTGCATTAATTAAACTGAAACGTTTGCATTTGTGCTTTCCGTCAGTGAACTGCAGCTATGCCAATTAAATGGATGGTACTTAGTTTTTTTTTTTATTTAATATACGATACAGTATATAAAAAACACGACAATCTATCGTGAAGTACACGATAGTACCGCGTCGACTGCTGGCTGTCCCCGTAAACTGATGTGTTGAGTGGTCAGCCATCTGATATTGTTCGATTCTGCAGCGCGCTCGATGCACCTGTGACTGGCAAGGCAGGCAGCTACGAAAAAACAGAAAGCCAAACTGCTATGTTGTCACGGTGATTAACGGGGGGAAACGTTCTCGAACCACTCAAGCTATTTGTTATGTTTAGAGTCTGAGAGTCAATTTGTGTGTGTGTGTATGTAGCGTTTTCCTGATTTCACGATTTTCAAGCGATACCGCAGATTCAGTACTCAATGTAGTGCTTTCTATTTCCAGTCATAGGCAAATCCGGATTGTCACCATTCGTTGCCGTCGATCGCTAACTGAGCTCCCGTGCCCTCGTCTTGTGTATGAATTATGCGACGGTAAGCGTTCTATTTAGTCGAAATGTCGATGTATGACTTGTATCTCGGCCTTAAGTGTTGGCGCGTTCTTACCTACATTTGCCTATAGCTAAATACGACAGGTTTGGCGATGTAGGCCGCAGGTAGTCGTCATGGCGGCAGCGACGACGGCGGAGAATCCTTCGAAATCGTTGCTATGGAAAAAATGGCAGGAGAGCAGGATAAGAGAAAAGCGAGAAATCGATATAGTCAAAAGTGTTGTATAAGACTATTTTGGTTTAGCGTTCGATGGTGTTTTTGTCCCTCCTGACGCAGCGACCGTCTCATACCCGATTCTAAGCCTCTTCTACAAGTAATAGGGTGCGTCTGTGTATGGGTATATATGTTTTTGTTTGTTCTCTGCTTTCCTGTCATGCTGGCAGCAAAAGCAGTATTCGTTCCTAACATTTAGCCGACAGACTCGATTTGGAGTTCGCTGGCTGGTCGACGGTTGACAGTGCTTTCCGTGAGGTTAGTACATTGATCTACGGGGGCCTACAGACGGAAGGGGATGGGGTATAGCTGGGAGAAACTAGAACCCATAGGGGGCTGGGAGCACGATCGATCGCTAGACTCACTGGTGAGGCGACCAACCGGCATAGTCGAGGTCATCATCAGCATTATTTCTATCACCAAGCACAGTTACGTGACGCACCTGAAGTGCTTAGTTACATTCTATTTTTATTATTACTATGGTTGTTGCTACCTATAGCTGAATTATCGTCCCTCTTGAGCTTTGACTCTCTGTTTCTCAAGCAGCTTCTTCCCTAGCTTGGTGATGTTTTTTTTTGAGAATTGATCGATCGGGTCATACAATCAGACGGTATCTGCTTGTATACGTACCGGTCTCACGAGCCACTCTCGTAGTCATGTGGCACTGGCTACCGCCGCTGTTGGCTGATGTGAATGTAATAACCAATGAACATCAATCAGTCGGTTGCTCAGTTGGTCGCTGACGCTCATATGCCCGAGGCGTGCTTCGATCCATAATCGAAGATGATGACGGCTCAACGCTACCCAACGTTACGCACAGGCGATCCTAAGCGGCAAAAGCTGGAAACGCTATTGTTGATGAAACAACAATAGCTTCAGCATGAGCTCACATACTATTCAACTCTATTTCACTTTATTAGCTAGGCAGAGCGGTACAGTCTCTTTCCCGCCATATAATAGTGGTCCTACTTCTAAATTGTCTCTCATACTGTTCCTGACGGTACCTGTGAATTCTGCCTTGGTGGAGAATTAATGCATGCGGCTACTGCTAAAACTATTACTCTATTACTTCTAAAACTATTACCACAAACCGTTCTAACTCCCGTGTTTCCCTGGTCTCCTAAGTTTGCCTATCTAGTAGTACATACCTAAACTTAACAACGCCGCTTAGTACTACTTCAGTGTTTGTCACAATGGAGTACAATACGGACGGCCGAGACCTGATAAGCAACGGCCTAGCGACCCATCGTTTGCTGTGGTTCCGTTGAAGTGACCCAGCCTGATCAGATTTTACCGGTTTTCGACGACCTCAAAAAAAACAGCAGTAATGGCGGGGGTGGCCGTGGCAGCGGCGGCTGCAGCAGCAGTTCTTCAAACTTAATACGTACTGGCTCTGGGTCTAGTTGCCATCTCGTAGTATGGTAGTAAGTCAGTCATTGTGACCATATTATGTCGGCAACGGCCAACGGATAGCGGCGGCAAGCACCGATCAGAGACACACACACGGTAGATGGATAGACGGCGAAAGAGTAACAGAAAAGAGTGGGCGACAGGGAAATAAGGGGAAATAGAGAAAGGGGCGTGAGTAGAGCATTACGCGCTCTCGATCGCGAGCGTGAACAACTATATCATTGAAAGTGGCAGCCGTAGATGTAACAACGGTGGCGCTGGAAACGTCGCAACGTTGGCCAACCCAACGCAGCGGCAGATATCTAGTTCGAGCAGCTCTAGTTGTCTTACACACACAGACAGGCGCGACCAATCTAGCCAGTTAGACTACTTGTTAATTTTCTATAGCGTCCATATGCTTACAGGCTAACGGTTTTTGCTGGTTGGTATCCATTGCCACTACTGCCATGGTGAGTGCCGGTTGATACGATTCTGTGTCGGGCTCGACGCATCCTCCATTCCATACGACTCTAATTGTTTCAGCTGCAGCTGCGGTTGCAGAAGAACAAGTTAGACAGGCTTTATTCAGCGTCTGTCCGACGAGTTCTACGAGGGGCAGGTAGCAGCAGCAGTGGCTGTGTTGACGATGCTAGCCACAGTAGCGCTGATGGTGATGGCAAAACAGACGGGAACCATCCGCCTCTACAGTTCCTACTGCTTTTGCCGTCGACCTCGTGTCGCATCGTGAGTGGAAGAGTGTGGGTGTCCGTGGTGGACATGACTATGGACCGACGGCGATACGCTAGCCAGGTCGACACAGATGAGCGTCATAAATGAGAGTTCGTTTCAACGTGGTGGTCCTGCACCGTCTATGCCTCTCCGTCAGCTCGTTCGTCGCGAACGAACGAACAAGCTAGAGAGGAAGGGAGGTACCGAGTGTCCATCGGCCGCCGCTGGTAACGGCGGCGGTAACGAAGGGACCGTGTGTGTGTGTGTGTGTGTGTGTGTGTGTGTGTGTGTGTGCGTGTGTTGCCTATTGACCGTTGGATGGTGGTCGGGCCTACAACTACCGCGGTAGTAGCTGCAGCATTTTGCACGAGATACGGGGAATTCGAGTAACAGCGACCGTGGGAGAGGCCAACGCTGGCGGACATCGCTCGCTATTTGGACTCTCTGTCGATCTGTATGGGTGGTTAGTGGTCCCTGTTGCCATCATGGTAAGCACGAACGCGGAGGTACAGCACACTAGCGCCTGGGTTTCCGTCACGACGCCGACGGTGGCGACTATAACGGGTAGCGATATTGCTAACAACAACATAGCAACAATGATGACAGAGCTCCTACTATACGTAAACTAACTGAAATGACGTCAAACAGTAATCGACTGACCCTGTTTAAAATATTGGTGTTGTGTTATCGGAACCAATTCTTAACGGTAGTGCAGAACATAAGACACCAAACATTCACTAACTTCTTCCTGATTTCCGCTATCTGCTTATAAATGGTACTCCGTATTATTCGACTGAGTGTGATTATTTTTTCTGCTCCTCGGCTTTTTCTGATTCAAACCAAGCTCTTCTGTCATGCAGGAATTGAGCACTTTTTGCCCCGTATTAACACATTTCTTACTAACCTATGCTATTGAAATATATCGAAATCAATTATCCAAAACCGTGCTGGTGCTGCGCGTCGTTTTTTCGACAGGACTCACGGTACATAGTCACGCCCTAATCCCACCTGGCAACAAAAAAAGGCAAGAAAGAAGCAAGCTGACAAAGGAGTGTCATTTAGGTATTGTTAGTAGTAAAGCTATTGTCGATACCACCGCACGTAAGGTATAACGTGTGTACAGTCATTCAGTGTGGTATTGCTTTTCGCTAAGCCCATAACGTTCTGGAACGGCTTCCAGCTGTGCGGAAACAATGAAAAAATTAACAATTGTAATTCAAATAATTGGATTATGTTTATTCAGGCGAAGTCACAGAGAAAACCGGCTTATAAGTGAAAGTAAAAATCTGTGGCATGTGTTAATTATAGCACAATAACCATCAAGCATGCTGCCAATATTGTGAGCACGCACCTATTTAGAATATAATATTTAATTAATGTTTCTTCTGTTAGCCAGAATACCATTGTGTATACAAAGAATCCTTTGACATATAATAGTTCAAGCTACAATTTCTCCCGTTTCCTCTCGTCAAATGGACAGCTGGCTCGAATCCGTGAGAAATCATTACTAGGGAGATACGTTCCACAGCCTATAGAGCCTGATGGTGAAGGGGGGCAGTGACATCTTTTAAGGCTAGCGAATGGGGATCAATGGATAGTATCGTGAAAAATGACTTCTTTGATTTAGTGGTAAAGTTGCCATTACATAACATATTGCAGCGCAGCTACAGTATCGTTTCTAACAAGCTAGCACGGACACTCGGGGAAGTTTGTAAAGTCTAGTGAATAGTTTTCGCCACTGTACGGCCAGTGCGTCAATGACTACTTCTGCTGAATTGGCCGAAAAAGAAACAGGACGTTGGAAGACATGACATTACCAACGACGTTGTCGTACACCGCCGCAGTTCAGCGTGTCGAAACTAGTACACTGAATCCGTCCGACATCGAACAAGATATACGCCCACCCGTTAGGCTGTAAGCGATCCAATCTGCTTGGGGCAATCGCTTGTGCGCAAATTCGCTAAACTAATCGTTAGGTTGATTCGGATCACTTATGGCATGGTGTCAGATCAGACTAGAGACACAGTGGGATGGCAACATGCCTTTCAGGCCACCCCACACGACTCTGATAACGATACCAATCACCTATAGCGACCTAGCCACATTTTAATATATAGTAGTATACGATTGAGCTCTATTGATCTACGTGATCAACAATAAATATGCTTTTTTTTTGCCAATATCCCTCATAGACTATTGTAATGAATGTCGAGATTTTTGTATTTGCGCGCACGGTTGTCGCTAGTGTCGTAATAGGCCGGCTGCATTCTCTACTGCCGTTATCGCTCAGATGGCGCTCGCCTACTCCCCGGGCGCTCCGCACATCGACTCAATTAGCGAACGCGCGAGAGCCCGTTGCGGTCCGGCGTTCGGGGGTCTACCGGGACCACAACTATGTCCAGGGCCATAGACTAGGTCTAGGTCCCCGGAACAGTAGTGGAGCGTCGCAGTAGGCTCTAGAATTTTAGGCAGTACCGAACAAGATAGGTAAACGAAATATAAGAAGAAGCTGATACATCTATGATGGCGTGTCTAACATATCTATCCTAATCTATGGTTGCGTGTTTTGGCATCTGTCTGACGGTACCTGCCGCCCTTTCGACTATCGTTCCCGCTTTCGTTGGCGTTGTTGCGGTTTTCTTCGTTCCACCGTTTGGGGGCGACGCAGGTTCGTACACTATTCGTATCGGGCTTACCTATGGACGCCAAGCCCCGCGAGCTCTACCTGTTGTTCCGGGCGTACAAGGGCTACGAAGGCTCGCTACTCAAGGTCACCTCGAAGAACGGGAAGACTTCATCGGTAAGTGCATCGGCACGCATTTCTTTTTTGTTGTAGACCGTCTCGGCTTCAACATCTGCCGCTACGCCACTCTTGACTACCGTACCCCCGGTTCCGCCGACCGACGCCACGACCCCGCTGCGCGGAAGCTTTGTTCTCACAAAGCCGTTATTCGCTTCGAGTCGCAATTGTCCCCATCTCTCTTTCGTTTTCTCCATATTTCTTCCCATCCTTACTTTTATTTTCATGTATTTGCTCCATCGTGCCTCCGTGACCGCCTTCACTTATATCTGTTCCTCCGCTCCTAGCCGTTCCCGTGCTGTTAGTTAGTTCTCCCGTCCTTCGTTCGCCTTAAAGAACCCCATGCACAGGCAAATTATGCTGTTCCACATGCTATTGTCGCGGCGGCTGCGACTGCAGCAGCCGCTGCTAATGCTGTTTCAATGTCTAGAGACGAAGCAGTCTCGTTAAATGGACATTTGCCACCAGCGTCACAGCCGAAGCAAGGCGATCTGCAATATGAGTCGAAGAGGTACTACGACAATTGTTAGCGAATGAGTTGTCCATATCTCATATGGAGTAAAAGGTGAGTGGGCATATGTAGAGAGATCACCGCGAGGGAAGTTAGTAGAAAAAAAGCGAAAATGTCGTACGATAGACTGGTATATACATTTTATGTACATTACTACAACAATCGATCTAAACAAATCATAGCAAAAACACTTTGGACCATCAATAAAATTTAAATATCTACTCAATCATTGGAAACCCTGCCAGCCTTTTTCCAGCCAGTTTCAGAATATGGTCTAACTGCATTCACCCCAACATGCAGCAAAATTTATAGCATATAGAGCCAAAGCTGGTAGGCGTCAAAATCCAAATGCTCTATCTTGAAAAACTTTAGGCTTGTTCGGGGTCATCTGGCTGTTTCCCACGTGCGGTTAATTGAGAGGGTTCATGTTAGTCAGGCCCAGTTGGCGTCCTTCAGAATTCTACGAAGAGTTCCATTATCAAGCTATCGAAATAGACAGGGTTTGTTTCCTATGAGATCTTTGCTACTCATCGTCGACGATCAAATTTAGCCTCTGCCAAGAACTTTTGATGCATTTCCATAAGTCTATGGCAGTAGCTTCAGTAGAAGTGAGCCTCTCTTGATCTCCTCTGTGGTGCTTGCATGGGCGACGGCTTAGTTAAAACGATGTCCGAAGTCAATAAATGTGTCTTTCAGTGTGTCTAGCAGCAGCACTCCTGCTGATTCATTTCGTCGCAATCTTCACCGTGTTTATATGTGTTTGTTTAGCTGTTCTCGAAAAAGCAAGTTATTAGCGGTGTAGAGGTGGACGAACGTAAACGAAGCATTTAACAGAACTTTAATAGTCTCGTCCTCGACATCAACTGAATAAACGAATATAGACGTATTTCGTTCTTTGCAAGACACACGTTAGCAATGGACATTTCGGCAATGCTGAAAGCGTACGCGTATTTCAATGGTTTCACTATGATCGTTTGCGTTTCCGACATTGCCTTTCAGCCCGTGGGGTTCGTGACGTTTTCGACCAGAGCCGGCGCCGAAGCAGCGAAACAAGAACTACAGGTTAGTGGCCTCACACACACGAACTACCAACGTTTGAAACAATGTATGGAGCTTGAGATTATTCATGAGACAATGCAATAACAGGCAAGGCAGTGGGCAAGATAGAGACCTGAAAAACGGAACTAATCACAACGGCTAGCTTGTAAACGCTGTAAGCTAGAAACATGTATACTACCATGTATGGAAGTATCCTGCCTGCTGGGATTATAAAGGCCACTTGTGGGCAAGATGCTCATGGGTACGTTGGTCAATTGTAACGTTGCGGATTTCCTTTTGTGAAAACGTTCAGCAAAGAGCCGTCCGTAATTGCAGTATATTAAACAATAGGTAAATGAATTTTCATTCATTAAGCCGTATGAGATGCTGAGACCTTACATACCTGATACGTACCTGCAAAGACTTTGGTAACGCTGGGCTTTGAATGTGGGTACAATACATTTGTGTATCCTGTCGCCTTAGCCTTGAAACATCGGAGTGTTAACTCTGACCCACTTCAAAACGTCGACCGAGATCAAGCCAAATAATCTCAAGATTAAAATACGATTTCCTATAGCCATAAACTTATTAACAGCACTTATTCGTGCTATGTGAGCAATTAGGCCCACAAGGGAAAATTCTTGTTTAATTTGCAGTAATTTAACTTTTATGTGCATGTCATAAACGCCATGTATTTCTTCCCCCCCCCCCCCTTTTTTTCTGCATAAATGAAAATATGTTTCAATTTAGTTAAGTACTAACGTTTCCGTCTCGCGGAAATCATAATGCCGTTTTCATCTCTTTCCATCTTATCTCTATTTTTTCAGTAGTTCGAAGCCGCTTCCATAACTAAGTTAGCCTTAGTGAGAACTGCGCCAACCTCGTGGCTGAAGTAGCTCAAACTTCTCCGTTCGCAGAATGCGACCTGTATTTCGTTCCCATCTTTTATGAAATTTAAATTCAAACGATTTTGTTCTCCTGTCATATGTCGGCGACAAACTCCGTCAGCTAGATGAAAAATCGATTACCTTTTCTTGTTTCCAACCGCGCAGCAGCCGATTTCTCTATGACTTAATAGAAGATCACAGCATAGATCATTTTCGTTGTAGTACTGCATCGCTCCGGTGGCTTATCTATCTCAGTCAGGATTTCCTGTGCAGTATAGATATCACAATAACAGCGATAAAATATTATCGATCGTCACCCTAGAACTTTATTCGTCGGTATGATTCTATTTTTACCACGATAATTACTTTTTAGTTTTTTTAAAATAGATACATGGTGATCTGTGTATTCCGGCTGTGGTTTGGTTGGTTCTGGGCGCCAAAAGTTCATTGATTGGCCGTTGATGTCAGTCTGTCAACGCAGGCCAGGGATACATCATTCTGCATGTTCACTTTTGTCCAAGGTGCTTACGATCGCCTAATGGCTTCCTTATAGCTCGTATGAAGAGCTAGCTGAAATGATGTTTGCTGCTGCTACCGTTGATAGTAGGTACATAAGCTGCATTAGACACTGCGCCATATCAGGCCAACACAGATCGCGATGATTGAATCTGATCAGTCTGGGCGGAGCTACCGGCAGAAATGAAAACTAACTGATAAATATTTTGTCCTACGGCCATTCGAAAAGGGAAAAGCCCTCCAAATGTGCGTCTTGCCACAACGCTGCGTCGTAAGAAAAGAACAACAAGTTTTACCCATCACGAAATTTGACATGAAACGTACGTTTCGTTCGACCTTTACGGGTATTCATGCTGTTCCGTCATGATGCCAGCTTTTTGATCATGTGGGTCGATGTCTTGTCGAGCCGCAGTGCTAACATAATTTTCCAGCTTACGCAATGTAATTCTCACAGAAAAACCGTATCCAAAATTTCAACGAAAATTTTTGTATATTGTTCTGTGTGATAATGGTGGTAAGAACAATTGGCGTGTGAATTTTTTTAGCGCAAAATACAGTTACTGACAAATCAAATTGCCTTTTCGTTGTTGTTGTTCGACACGTAAATCCGTACTTTCGATGAATATACAAAAATCGGCTAAACTGAGAGACCGTTTCTGTGTTCTGTGTTGTCATAAACTGTCTACGTCCTTCCTGTATTGCAATTGCCACTGTTCTTCTTTTTTATGTTTTTACTTCCTCATTTTTTACCCTGTTCTTCGTCCTTTTCTCGTATCGTTTTCGGTTTCTCCTCCTTGTTGCCACCATCTCTCTGTGGATTTGATATTGGACGCGCCTTTCAGCAGGGAGTCCGCTTCGATCCCGACCTGCCGCAAACGATCCGACTCGAGTTCGCCAAAAGCAACACCAAAGTATCCAAGCCGAAACAAACGAGCCAGGGTGGCGTCGGCATCCCGCAGGTGTCTCCGGGAGCAGCTCATCCCGCCACACTGCTTCATCCTCTAACCGGACGTAAGTTTATGCCTGAGATCTTTTCACCCCGACGTTTGTCGTCTGTCCCTCAGCAACAAGCAACATGGTCCCGCAACACCCTTGCGTCAGTCATATATAGGGGCTATACACAAGGTATATATACAACAGCTATAATCACATGATAAGACAAGGAGGAGCCGTTAGAAGTCTGAAACGCTTTGGATTGTGGGAGTCATGGATTTTTGCGACCGACGCCATTTTGTGACATAAACAAATTCTGTCCAGATTTGCGTCAAGCATTATTGTATATAATAGTTTATCTAACAGAGGCGAACACTTAGAGACTACTAATTATTACCGTTAGTGTCTGTTCCTCGATATGTCACTTCCCTTCTGGCTGGCAAACGGAAAATTACTCGAGTAAGTCAGCACCCAAAGCGTACCGGATGCATTCAGTAACACGAATATTGAGGTTATACCTCAGAATGAGCTAATTAAATCTAGAAACATATTTCAGAGAGGTCTATTCAATAGTTTAGCATTCCAGTATCGAACGAAGTCTACTTTGATCCGAGTACTAAAGGCCACTGATTGGTCATTAATTTTAGTAAAAAAACAACTGCCTCAAATAAAAATCAGTTTTTGTATACCTTAGATAGGTGCTAGTCTGGACAATAAGCACAAGTACACTTATTATACCGCAAACCTTAGACCTCTCTTATGGTAACGGACAAAGCTAAACAGATGGTGTTCAGGAAGGAGATTTGAGCTTTTTCTTTCGAGTATCTCTAAGCGTTTATCTGGTGTTATATAATACTACACTAAATACAAGAGTCTCTGCTGGTAATTGCTCTTTTGCTCCCGGGCCTTTCTTCAACTGCAAACCTAAGGCTTAAAGTCTTATCGGCATTCCAACTTCGGTTGTCTTCCGATGGCGGCTTGTGAGATGGATCATTCCATAACAAAGACCGTCTAACATGACAGTATCAGCTGAATCTTCTTGAAGATAGTTAACTGACCTGCAAATCGTTTGTGAATGACGAAGACAGAAGCGCAGATTTCTGTCGGGTTAAGTATATTATTAGTTCATGTTTTGTAATGAGACAAGGACGTACGTCGATGCCATTCAGATTCATCTGTGATGCTGATGATTAATATTATTGCGTTGCTAATCCGCAATCATTGGTTGATGGCAATTGCAGGTTGAGTTAACGTGTTATCACGTTGCCTTAGTGATGTTTTTTTCGATCGTCATGTATGTATGTATGTTATGATACGATTGATAGCTGCTAATAATGAAAGTCTTGGCTGAGGTAGTGATCAGGTGTTGCTTGCTTTTACAGCGCAACTTCGCTATTTCCTGCCGTACTACCTGGGCTCTCTGGGCTCGTCGTGAAGCGGGCCTTCGACGCCCGGTCCAGGCCACCGGCCTCCCGTCTTCCTCACAGCCCTTCAATAGCTGAGTCGAGTCTATTTCTCCCAGTCGATGAAGTCGTCTCCTCTAGTCAAAAGCAGCGAACTACCATATCGACATTGTCCGGGATCGAACGCATATGTGACGCATTCCGCCAAGATCGTTTGAACACCTGTCAAACAGGTTGAGAGTGTGAAAAGTTCCGCTGCAATCCTCAGAGCCCACCTCCTTCCCCCGCCCCCGCCCCTTCGTTGTTACCTAGTCATTATTTAAGGGAGGAACAAATCCAGATGTCAAAGTGTTCATTCCTGAAATTCCCACAAACCTCCTCCCACATATTCCAATCGTCCTAATTCCTAATGTTTTTACTACCTCTAGAACTTAGTTGTATGTGTGTGCGTGTGTGTACATTCAAATAAAAACAAAAGAAAACTTCGAATAAAAATGAACGAATCGACAATTTTTTAACGGGCAACGTTAGAAGGCCGAACCAGCTCTGATAGTGAGTTGAATGAGACGCGATAATACGACAACAACAAACATACTATACATCGCAGGAATGGTATATCGTTTGGGAATACTCCTCAGTATATCTACAAGTATGTAAGACGACGCGACAAACAAATTAGAAATGTCAATAGTATTAAGTATATAATAAGCGAAATCAATAACGATACTACTATTCTCGATTCCAAAACGAAAACGATAACAACAATTTAAGCACACAAATAACATGCAAGCGAACGTGTACAACGAACATGTCGTCTCAAAATACCTTATCTTTTTAGAAAAACAGGATGACGCCTATGATGATGACAATGACGTCTCATGGTGACTAGATTAAAGACGGATTCGTGCAAACATACAAAACTATATACACAAAAATGGACCGTTTTGTGAGGCTGGTATTGCCCTATAGGACATCTGTTATGTCAACCAACAATATGACATGACGGCAAGAGTGAAGCCTTTATTTTCTATATTTGTGCTATCGTCACAGTAACAAAAAGAGGGGCAATGAAAGCCATTTTCTGAATAAAAAATCTTTTTTCTCAAGTGGATCTTGTAATGCATGCATCTCACGTGAGTGATCGAGATCTGTGCGACCTGCAACGAACGTTTTAAATGTCGTAAAGTTTACATAGATACTGATACATTTGATCGATGAATGAGCATATATGTATATATGTACATATATATATGTGTGTGTAAGATCAAGAATTAGCCACTCGTTTACGGTCATTGTTTGACTATCTAAAACAATTACGATGGGCAAAGGAACAAGTGAAAATAAACAAAGACAAACAACTAAACCCTCATATACATATAAGGGAACGCTTTATATATAACTCGCCCCTCCTAAATTACTCAATTCTTCCGTATGTCCTTAACAGATAGAACCACTGAACCAATACTCTGCTAAATAAAAGGAATAGTTTTCCTGACGAGCGACACTTGTACAGAAGCTTTCATGGGGACTAATTTCAACTAGATTTTTTTTTAAATCTCTAATAATTTATAAAATCTGCTACAAATAACGAATCCCACTTTCTGTTACTCTACATCAACTTCGGTGAGGATCGAAAGGAGACCTTTACGGCCCATTGCCCACTGAAGGATACCAAAAATCGATTTCAATATCAAATACAAAAGGGAGTGAAACCATAGCCTAATAGAAACATAGAAGTTCGATCTCCATCGTCCAAAGAGAAACATAGAAGGCCATTAGTGAACAGACAGACAGACACACACAGACGTACATACTGGTTTGCTACGTATTCGGCGAAAATATGTCACGAGATGTGGCTGAGCCCTTATATCGACGGAAGTCGGACGGGGGTGGTATATGGGGGCTGAAAACGCAGTTTCACACGTCTGAGATCACAGTGACGTGTGCTATGGTTACTTGCCGACAATTAGCGGCGGCGTGATCGGAGATCGGGTATCGTCTGTAGCGGCCGACCGATTTTCTGCCGCAACGATTTTGGAGCAGTGCTTATTTGCCTATTGAGAGGAACGGCGATCGCGTTTAAGGAGAGGTTATGCAGTTTAATAAAACATTTTAATAATTCAGAGAAGTTAAGACCAATAGAGCGCGTTGTAGGACTGCACCATATTGTGGCAACGAAGCGTGATAGAGTGATAGCGTTTGAGGGTAGCAATGAAAACGCGCGGAGGAGATGGGCGGAATTAACGGAACGACTGGTGGAGTAGGTGAATTGATCTTGGCTGCTTGTCGGTTAGTCCGTGGTCGTCATTTCTGCCAGCAGTTCTGCTGGGATCCATTGCTTATTGCTGGCCGCTGGGAGCTGAAGAACCTGCCGAGTCACCGAAGAAGACCCGGAAGTCTTGGAGGAGGCGGACGTGGTGCTAAGGTACATGAAACGACTGCAAACTTATGTACTCTCATTTCAAGCAACAAAAAAAACATTTCGCAACCGAGAAAAACGCAATCAACCCAAAAAAAGAAATAGAACTCTTTAACTAAATCACGATCTCTGTCTTTATTTTCTCTCTCTCTCTCTCTCTCTCTCTCTCTCTCTACCTACCTACCTACCTACCTACCTA